TTGTTTCATTTTCCGTTTTGCTCAGCTTTCTGGGTCACCTTTTCACCCCCTTTTCATATTTTGGATTTGGGGTTTGCCTCTGTCCTACTATCCAGGTTTTCTGTGCTGATTCTGAATGTAGCTTTGAAAGAGCATGGGTAAAATAAAAAAGAAGGCGTGGCTTGAGGATGTGCAAGCTTGAACTCCATCCTGTGTTCTGCTTCTGATTTACCAGTCTGCTGAGGATGAACTCCAGTAGATCCTTTCTTTTACCTAGGATGACAGTACTTTCCATACTTCATAGAAAAAAGCAGCTCAGTCTTAAAGAAAGAACTGAAATCCTTTAGTTTATTTATTTTATTTTTGCTGTGTTGGGTCTTCGTGTCTGCGCGAGGGCTTTCTCTAGTTGCGGCAAGCGGGGGCCACTCTTCATCGCGGTGCGTGGGCCTCTCACTATCGCGGCCTCTCTTGTTGTGGAGCACAGGCTCCAGAAGCGCAGGCTCAGTAGTTGTGGCTCACGGGCCTAGTTGCTCCACGGCAGGCATGTGGGATCTTCCCAGACCAGGGCTCGCACCCGTGTCCCCTGCATTAGCAGGCAGATTCTCAACCACTGCGCCACCAGGGAAGCCCCAAGAAATGAAATCCTTTAGAAGAAGAGAGGCACGAGAGCAAGCAAAATCAAGTGTTTTTTTACCAATTGCTCAGCATTGTTATTTGTTCATGGTAAACATAGTGGTTATTTGAAAGGATGTGTTAAATCACATTTATACAACAGGACTGTAGAAGTGCAGAATTTATAAGGTACTTATACAAGGAAGCTTTGAGGCCTGCTATCTGATCCACTCAATTCAATGCCTTGGTTCATTTTGAGGTCGTTTACAGGTTTAATATGATGGAGAATAATAGAGGAAGCCCTGCTCTTCCACCTGAATACAGCCTGTCTTTTGGGAAATGATCAGTCTTAAATTCTGGCTCCCCACCCTCATTCCTTTCCTTGTACCTGTTAGTAAGGAAGCTGCCTACCATTATTTTGGTCCCTCTAGATCAGTGGTTCACAAATTTTAATGTGTATCAGAATCAGTTTTAGAAAGCTTCCTAAGACACAGATTGCTGGGCCCTGTCCCCAGAGTTTCTCATACAGTGTGACTGAGGTGAGCCCTGAATATTTACATTTTTAACAAATTCCCAGGTGATGTTGATGTTGCTGGGTCTTTGGGACCACATTCTGAGATCCAGTGCTTGAGGTTACTGCCTACTTTATAACCATGATGACTTTAACAGGTACCGACCATCTTCACAGGGCCAGAGTATCCAACTTGTGTTGAAGTGACTGAGGCTTTACTGTCTGAAAGTGGACAGTTAGGTACAAGAGGTTTTGTCCTACTTGCAGAGATTAAGTGGCCAGAAGACTAGGTCATCTACCTACAGGCACCTGGCAAATGGCTTACCAACTCTTTTAAGCAGCAGGTAGCAGGTAGCAGGTGGGAGCTCGCTTTTGGAAAACCTATTAGCTGGGCTACAGAACTAATAATATGACATAAGGAGAATAAAACCAATGCTTTTGATTAGTTTCTGTGTCATCCTCAAAGGGAAGATTCCAAGGTTGCCTTGCCTTTAGGAGCTCTCATTTTTCTTCCTTCCACTTCCCTGAACTACAGAACCCCTTAGGCTGTACATTAGATCATTTTAGAAGCTAAGTGATTCGAGTTTCACTCTAGCGTAGGAGCCTGCACAGCACCTTCTCTTCTGGATTTATTGTAGTGGGACCTGCTCAAGTGAACCAACAGCCACAAACGCTACTTTTAATAGGATTCATTTATGCAGCCATTTTAACCTTAAGTATTTTCGTGCGTTAAACTTAACATTTAATGTGTTACGTCAATAGTACTATATCTGAAGATATAAACAGTGTTTGGCAAATCTGTAGCTCCAGCCCTGTCTTTTGACTCAAACTCCAATTCTCATTTCAAATTGCCTATAGGATTTACATGTTCATCTCGAATTCTGCCTTCCCAAGACTGAATTAAATTTTCCCTGCTCAAAATTAACGTCTCTTTCCTATATTCCTCTTTTGGTTGATGCGACATTTCCCCCCAGTTCTCCAGGTTTAGAAACTTGAACCCCTTCATCTCTATAGTTCAATCTGTCAGCAAGTACTCTCAGCACCTCCTTCATAATTTCTGCGATTCATCCCTTTGCCTTTTAACTGTTAGCACCAGAGCGCACACTCTCATCACGCCAGTAATAGGTTACTGGAACAGCTCTCGTCTTGGTTTCCCTACCCCCAGTTTTCCTTTCATTCCACTGTAGTTTTTACTCTGATACTATATTGTTCTGCTTAGAATACTGTTTTGATCATGAGCTCCCCTTGCTTCAGAGTTTAGGATGATTCCTTTTTCACAGATGGCCAAAAAGGTCTAACTCCTATCTTGTCATTCAGTGGCCTTCACAAGGACACCCTGCCTCAGCTATCCAAGCCATCTCTGCAGACCTGTTTTTTAGTCATACAAGTCATGTACCTTGAAGACTTGAGAAAAACTGGTCAAGAACCCTACTTTTCCTCTCACTTGGACCCTTGTTTTTTTCTCAAGGCTGTAGCTGGGAAGTTCCCCAAATCCATTTGACAGATGCCAGTGGACCAGAATCCTGCTTATTTTACTTATGTAGTTATTTTTCTCCTATTCGAGGGGCTGGCTTAAGATCTGTCTCTTCCGCAAAGCCCACAGGACCTATTGGCTGTACCACACCATGTGACACTTGATGATAAATCATTTTGTACCACCATTTAGTTTGTGTATATGTGTGTATTATCTCCCCAAGAAAACTGTGACTCTTGGGAAGGACCTAACACAATTTTGGGAGGGAGATAGGTGTTTACAAATACTTGCCAACTAAGGGGCCGTATTTCAGGCCCATTCTGAAGTGCCCATGGGGAAAATCTCCTTGAGTCCCCATCTAGCCTCCTACTCAATAGTGACATCACGTGACTCTCTAGATCTTGACAAGGAACATTGGGGAGCTATTGATCTTCCCTGTTATAAAGGGTTTTGGGGGGGAATTGTAGCAGTTGCTATATTTTAGGGAGAAAGATGGCTCCAGAAACAGGCTTGATAATGTCCAGGCTAAGAATAAACTTAGTGACAGACAGCAACTCCGCTAGTTAGGTATTTGGCTAGGAAGGGAGTTCAGCGTCTGAAGCGTTTCGGGTAGGTGTGGGCTTAGCAATTAGATATGCTGCTACTTTCTGAGGTAAGCCTACTTAAAAGCAAAAGCGTGGCCCGATGACTGGGTGCCCGATGACCCCTGCAGTGTAAGAACTCATTTATAGGCATCTGCCCAGAGGTACCCACCCGAACAGACACTAAGAAGAAGCAAAGGAAAGTGCCCAGGACCTCAGTGTAGTCACTGTGTCAACAGCAATATCAGATAAGGTGGTTTTTTTATGGGGGGGGGGGCGGTGAGGGGAAGAGCTGATGCGCCTGTGGTTAGTGATTCAGAAACTTGGTGCCACATTATATGGCACCATGAAGCCACCTTATGTTCCAGCCACCCCATGGTGGCTGATGTTTTAGAATTACCTATTTACTAACTGAGCCAAGAGGAAATGGACTGGATGAAAGCCAGAGTAAGGTATAGTTATCTCTTAGCCGAGCCACATTCGAAACCTATGAAGCCAAATGGCTCTTTGGGACTCCTTTCTATACCAGTGGAGCGACTGTCATTGTCAACCTAACAGTGTTTGCTTTTTATAGGTATCACACATTTTTGCTTGCCTCTTCCTAAGACAAATGTATGTTTTCATTTAAATGTATTCAAATGAGCCCCTATGGCTCACACAGGTTGCCAAATTATGATATCTCAAGCAGGAACAGGGTCCAGACAATTCCTGTTGGCTGAACTAGGGCTGAACTTAATCCTAGACTGACTCAGCTTCTCTGTTAAAGTTGTTTGGAATTCTGATATCCCGCCAGAGATTGTTTCTAAAGAGTTCTCAGTGTGAAGTATGAATCACAAATGAATGGAGTCTCGGGAGACCAAAAGCTCAAGCTCAAGTAATAATTCAATACACATTTATTGATTGCCTGTTATGTTAGGGCACTGGGTTACGTGGGATATAAAGAAACCCCTTGACCTCAATGTAGTAGATGAGAATGTAAAGCAGAAGATGAAAAGTGCCTTACAATAAACACAAACAAGTTGATTGGGACATTTCAGTTGAAGAAGAGATTCTTCATGAAAGAGGTGGCATATAAGCTTGTCCTTGAAAGATAAGTAGGATGTTTTAAAGTGACAGGATAGGAGTTAAGAGGCATTCCAAGAGAATAGTGAGTAATACAATTTGGTTGGACAAGTAGTATAGTACATTTAGGAGGGAAATGGAGATAAAGCTGAAAAGGGAGAGGAGAAGAGAAAGGAATTAGTACTTTTTGAGTGCCTACTATGTGCCGGAATGGCTGGTACTTTAATTGCATTTATTTCATTTAATCTGTAGAATGATTTTCTTGGGTGGATGGTGGTACGCTCATTTTTTTACCCATAAGGAAACCAAGACTCAAGAGGTTAGGCCACCCTTCAAAGTCACACACATCTTGTACGTGACAAGAGTTGAAATGTGAAACCAAGTTGTCTGATTCTAAAGCCCTGATTTGATAGGCTGAGTCTGAGTTTAATTCAGAAGGCAGTGGAGAGTCATTATGGTATTTGAACAGGACAGTGCTATCTTTAGGAGATTGTTCTTGCAGAGATATACAGAGATTTAGAATAGTGAGAGACTGGAGACTAGTTAGAAGCCTGTTGTAATTGTTCAGACTCCAGAGACATAGAGAAGGTTGGTTTCCAAATAGGAGTTTAAGTGATCGGATATGGGGAGGAGGAATCATAATGACGCTGAGATGCTCAGGCTAGATCTTTAGGAAAATGATGTCCCCATTAACAAAAAGGGTAAGGTAAGAGGGCTTATTGGTTTAGGGTAGAGTAGAGGGCGAAGATGGTCTGTAGGTTTGCAATATTTGAGTTTGAGGTACCAGTAAGATGACAAAGAAATAATGTCCAATAGGCCTTTTGAAGTGCAGGAGAATTTGACTTTGGAGACAAATTTGGGAATTATCATCAAAGATATTGGGGTGATAAGAATACCAGAGAGAAATAATAGAAATCAGAGAATATGTCTTTCTATTTAAATGAGAGGAAGAAGAGAAGAAAAAGAAAGAGGCAACAGATAAGGGACAGTCAGAGAAGTAGCATTATGTCATGAACCGCAGGTGAGGAGGGTGTCAAGAATGGGTATTCAACAAATCAGAAGGAATTTAGGAATATTTGTCTTCCTTTATCCTCAGTCCCTTTTCTTAGGAAACAGCTGGCACCGTTAAGTTCAGATATGTCCTTTTTTTTTTTCCCCTACTTTTAACTCTGTTATGGAGGAAATCAGGAAATCAAGAGAACTGTCTATTAAAAATGTGTTTGGTGGTCACATTTTTAATTTAAGCTAGTGAAAGCTCTCAATTTTTGTGCTAGCAAAATAAAGTAAAAAATTTCAAGTCTTGCGCTAAATCATTGGAGGTTTAGTTCCCAAGGAGGCTCTTGTAATTTTGGTGCTTCTGTTCTTTGACTCTGTGATTCCTCCTGTGATCCATCCAGTCTCCTTTCATTATATTTAGTACCCGAAATCCACGCCCAGAATTCAGGATTCCTGGTTGCAAGCCCAATGTGCATTGTGTTGTTTCTTCAACCTAATTTGTGATATGGGTAGTACTAATAAAGGAGAATAAAATAGCTAATGAAGGATTATAAAGCACTTTGCTAATACAAACTGCAACATCAAAGCTGAATAATAGTCTTAATTTAGGGTGAAGGGTTCCATTAGCAGAGTAAAAATAAAAAGGACAAAGGGTAGTGTCGCTTTGTACCTTGATAACAGTGTACCAATCACAGAGCGCTGCTATCGATCCTCATTGCCCTGTGAACTCTCAACCCAGGAATTTGGCTCCCCTCCCTAACTCTCTAAGTACTTCCCTCACCCACTAAGTCTGATGATGGCACCTCCCTGAATCTCCTGACAAATGCAAACAGGAACTTCTATTCAGCAGAACTAACTTGGTAACTGAGAAGATTCCTCTTCCATTTATCAGCACTTTGATTATCTTTTGGTATCTCTTACCATCTGCGCTTAGCAAGAAAAATAAAGGGGTTTGGGCAATTAGGAAGTAACAAAGAACTCATAGTTCACAAAGAACAAGTCAAGGGATGTTTGGAATATTTGAGCATACAGTCATATTTGGCGTGAGGTAGCCTCCCTACATCCTACTCAGGGCAGGGTAGGCTGGCGAGCTGATCAAGCTGCCGGAAACCTGAAACAAAGGCAAGGGGATGACGTCAAATGGCCCCTCAACTGAAGTCTTTAAATTCTGGGCTTCAGACACATCAACTTCTTAGGGTATAAAGAATGGAGAAAAGAAATATAATTCATCGCTCATTCCACTAAAGGTAAGTTAAAAGAACGCACTCAGAAAAAGCATGGAATACTGTTGGGAGTAAATCAGCTCTGAATTGTTCCGTGCAGATCACTGGTCCAAGTCCTCATAACATCTTGGTAGGGACTGAAGTTCACCTGAGACACTCAGCCGACACTATGGCCTAAAGCCAGTGGGGAGCAAGACTTTCTTTGGGTCAATTCTATAGGGATGATAAATAAATAAAATTGTTTTAATAGTATCTAAATGGCTCCTGCCCTGAAGGAGCTCCCCATCGGATCTAGGAGATAGACTAAAGGACCCAAAGTGACAAGAGAGCACTTCCAAAGCGACATAGCAAGAGTAAGTTAGTCTACCCGTTCATTCCATGTTCTCCTAGTATGTATGTGCTGTGCTCTGTGAGTTTGCATTCCGCATGTCTTGTTTCACAGATGGTCTTAGGACTGTTTTACATGTTTTACGTGAGCGGGTGTATGCATGGCTATAGATCTACTGTTAGATTCTAGTCTCTTGAGAGCAGGAGCTATTCCCTTTTTTTTTTTTTTTTGGCAGGGAAATGTGTTAAGGATTATGCTCGACTTTGCACATTGATACTGAGGAAAGACAATAAATAAGAGTATCTGGGGATGGGCTATTAAGTAGGAAGTTCCTCCTAAAATAAGTGAGATTTGTTCAGGGTTGTGGAGAAGATTTAGACATCATGTAAAAGGGAAGGAAGAGACCTCTCCCTTGCTAAGAGGTCAAATACTATAAAGCTGACTTTAAAACTTATAGGGAATATACAGGTTTCTGAAGAGAAAGCAGAAATCTGAAAATATTCATATCCTGATCAAATAACAAGGCAACCACCAAACTTATTTATCTCAGATCTGTTTATTAAAACAGATAATTCAACATGCATATTTTTCTTAACATCTACCATGTACTAAGGGATGAATAATACCTAGTCCCTGACTTGAAGGAGCTCAGGATCTACTTTACAGGAAGGAGGAAAGGACTAGTGTTTTGTTGAACATCTATTGAGAACCAGGCGTTCTCCTGAAGGAAATGGGTAAGAGAGTGGGTCACAGTGGAACACTGAAACAACTAACTGTAAAAGGTAAGTGTCATTTAAGGCTTTTGAATATATCACTTTAGGAGACTATATGGGGGAAAGCATTTAATTTGGGGGACTGAAGGCTGGTGAGAGGATTAGAGAAGGACCCAGTTTGGGCTGGGCTGGGAGGTCAAGGGCAAAAAGGGGTGGGGAGCTGTAGGACTTAGATCTTGGAGTCTCTGGCTCACAGGGGAAGGGGAGGTGCCACTTTTCTCTCTGTAGAGCCAAGGAGATAGGGGAAAGGTTCATAGGAAGAGAAAGTAAAAGGAATATAGCAGCGCACCAAACTAGCTTCCCATCTTATACACTTCCTGTAAAAGATTTCTTAAGAGCAAAGGCAGTGTTTTTCTGGTCTCATTCTCTTTAATGCCTAGAACTCTGCCATAGGAGGCCACTTCGATGTCTTACTTTTTAGTTCCTAGGAGCTCAAGAGTTGCTGCTATTAGGAATTACTAAAGTATTCAGAGGATGGAAATAGCAATGGCACAAATGCCAAGATATCCAGGCACCATCCATAGAGACCCAGCGAAATGCTGAGCCCAAAATGGTAGTACCTCCTAGGTTCTCACAACACTAACTCTTACTTTTTCTTTTATCCCCTGCCTAGAAGGCTGCACCATGGGTGGGAATAAAAATCTACTCTCCTGTTGCATCCAGGCAGCTGCCAGCAGTCTGTTTGCCTTGTTCTTTGCTGGCAAATCATTAAACAGCCCCCCCAAAGCAGGCCTCTTCCCCAGGGCCACCCCATGGACAGGGGTTCAGACCTGTGGTCAAAGGGCTGTCAGCAGTCAGGCTGGAGCCCTTGGGCTGTCTCCAGCACAAGCCTCCCCTGACAGTTGCCTCTTCTGAACAGAAGCCTCCTTGGCCTGATCTCAAACCCCAGTGGCTTTTGAGGAGACACTCTGGGCATCTGTGTTGGCTGTGGCTTGAAGCATTTTGTCCTCCTCCTCCTGATGTAATTTCTAAGTGCAGCTATCCCTGTATTTCCTCCGTCGTTTCTGTATTGAAGCACAGGCCCACGCTCCATATTTTTTTCCACTTTGCAATGTAAATGGAATAGTATGTTACTGCCCAGGAGCTGGGGATTGTGATCAGCCAAGCAAACTCTATAGCTTCACCCCATCCCCACTCACAATGGGACAGTTAAAACCTGGGCATCGATTTGGTTGCGCTGGCCCATTTGGATACAGTATCTGCCCTCCAAGGGCTTCTAAGCCAGTCGTGGAAGACAGCAGTATGGAGCAGAGTTTGCAGGGCAACTTGAAATCCCTACAACCTCTGAGCAGGAGACTAGGCCAGAAAGACATGGAATGTGTGTGTGGAACAACCAGGTTCATGTAGCCATTTCACACTCTTGCACTGAAATCACCAAACTTAGCAACGCTTGAGTAGCTCTGCTGATAGCCCTGGTACACCTCTGGCATATTTAAATGAATAATCTGATTTCCTCAAGTTTCATTTCTTTGGTCTTTTTCACAAGGACTGTCTGGTTTTAGTCTTTGGCCTTTTCAGCATTAAAATCTGAACCTAAATAATTACTTAAAAACAAACAGTCCCTGCTTCCAGCAGGTTTCTAAATTCCTACCATCTCTGGCATGAGTTTGGCTAGAACAAGAATAACAAAATAATAAAGCAAACTGTGTCAAGGCTGTTTGCAAACAGCACATTGGGTTAAATGTGAGAGTTCAGTGAACTCTCTCACTGTGGTAAGAGTGAAGGCCGTGCCTGGGAAGGGCCCTGTCCAAAGCCTCCTTAGACCCTTACCCTGGAAGTGTGAGGGGCAGGAATTAGCCCTCGCGATGCTGCCACCTGTGTGAAGACCTCAGCCTTTCTGCAGGGGCCTCTTTGAACGAGACCCGGCTAAATGAGGGGCCTCAAAAGTGGTGCCCCCAGTAGGATGGAGGTCAGGGCGGGTGTCAGAATCTCTCACGACAGTGGTCACTAACGGTGTGCAGAACTCAACTGACATTTCAGGACCTCTTGGTAGGATTCCTAGCAGTTTGAGGCAAGGTAAATGCCTCACCTGGTGGAGGGAAAGAGTCCAAACCACATGACTGGCGTGTCTTCTAAGGTCTTGATGTTTGTGGGCCTCAGAGCCTTGGCATTCTGTTTCACAGCCTTCCTTCCAAAGTGTGCTGACGTAACTAAAATGGTATTTGATGGGCTTCTCCCTCTCCTTTGCTCCTAACTTCATGAGTAGCTTCTTGGTGCCCCTGTAACTAGAGGTCATTCTGGACTGAGTCAGGACAAAACCTGTTTCTATATGGGAAGATAGTGGACAAAAGGTCCACCTCTTGGGTAGTTGTCATCTTTCTCCTTCTCTCTCTCTGGTTACTGCCAAATAAGGTTTCTTCTCTGACATCAATTTATTTCAAAAACAGCTCAGATGGTTAGCTTTCTCTTCTTTCTCCGCCCTTTCTTCTTCCTGCTTGTGGCTCTGCTTATGACCCTGTGACCCACCCTTACAAAGACCGCAGGCAGAGTGTGCGGTCAGGAAAGCCCCACCACGGGGCCATCGTAGGGTAAAGAGGCCCAGTTCCATCACGGAGCCTGGACACGATCTGAGACAAGCAGAGGTGAATTTTTAACTTGAAGAATGGAGGCTCTAATGTGGGGGGGAGACAGTGAGGGAGATGGCAGTCTAGCTGAATGTCCATTATCTGGGTCTGAGCTTCTGTGACCTCTAATTTTAGGACACACCTTTCTTATCCTAGACAAACACGGACTATTCACTGGGAAAGCACCTCTGAGCAGTGTCTGGGTCTGGCTGCCTTGCTGTGGCTAGAAGAGATGAGATAAGCCCTAGGGGAGAGGAAGGAAGCTGAGGATGCTGGGCAGAGAGAGCCTAGGCCCAGAGGGAGAAGGAGCAGACAGACTTGGCTCCTTTCTTGTTGCTAAGACTGATTCAAGTTTGAAAATTCTAGAAACGTAGGCCCCCCTGAAGCCTTCTGATCAGGCATTGTAGTACCCGGCTGGTGTTTGCTGTACCGCACGGAATACTTCCCGACGCGCAGACCTGGAGGTGGCGTGGTGGAGTAGTCAGGGAGCTGGGATTGAATTTAGGAGGACTCAGCTTCCTTTGAGCGCCTCCGTATGTAACCATGGGCCGTCTGTAAGGTGAGGCTCGCATTCCTCATCTGTGTAAAGCAAGTTTTAAAGGTCCCTTACAGGTCTGGACCAGGCTCAGCTGTTAGCAATTCACATCTCTTTTATAAACTGTATGACAATTGGATGCAAGTTGAGTCTTATTCATTCTTTCACCAAATACTAAGGGCCTACAACATGCAAAGCCCCCTGACGGGACCCTTGGTGGGCTCAGCTCCTCCACGCAGACGGTTGCCCTGCCTTCTGTTGGAAGCTGGCGGGTCCTTTCAGGCCTTCTGTTAACAGCCCTCTTGCTCACCAGTGCCCCTGCCCCCAGGAAGCTTTTCCGGATCAGGTTAGAAATACTGGAGGCCTCTGTCATCCATCCTCTCTCTTGCTAGTCCCTTTCCATCAGGGTTATGCTTCTCTCACCCCACCAACATTATTTTCTTTTGTACCTTAAAAAAATTACACAGTTAAGCAGGAATACATTTTCCTTGTAAAAGCATTTTAACAAAATCGATAAAGGGAAACTTCTCTTGACAATTCCCCAGCCTCCCAACTTAATTGATTAAGAAACTCAGCCATCCCAAAGAGGTGGAGATGCAGGCTAACGTATGGATGGGAATGAGGTCTAGAAGCTTCCAAAGCCTAAACAATTGCCATTAGGATCAACCTGTAGATGTGAGCATCGACCTCTTTAACTAAAGGGCAAGATGACCGAACTGGACCTCAGAGACTGTTCCGGTACTGGGAGCCAGAAGCAGCAACTCCAGGCCTGTCTGCTTTTCCCAACCCCCCAGCTACAGGAGCTTGACTTGATGCAGCGGCTGTGTCCTGCCGCCTGAGATAAAAGTCAGGCAGTTCGAAGTTCAGGTAATGGAGGTTGCACAGGACAGGATGATTATAAAATCTGAAAAGAGGAAATGGGCAGAAGGTGCCTTTGATGCCTGGCCAATGTTCCTGATTACAAAAGCAAAATTGTAGCAGGCAGTAAAGTTACCTGTCCAAGGCCTGGGTGAAGGTCTGTAAGTGGAATCAGAGAAGTGAGAGATTACTGCGGCAGAGCTGGGCTGGGAAACGGGAGACAGTAAAGAATTGCTTGCAAATGCACACACCCCAAGAGGAGGAGATGCCACGGATAAAATAAGACCAGCGTTAAGTTCGGGGCTCAGTTGAGCCCTGGAATGCCCTTTGTGAGGAGGTAATGAGATCACATGGCCTCCTTCATGGGAAGGAGGCAGGCTGAGAACTGGAAGAGCTTGTTCAGTGGGGTTTGGAGGGCTGAGCCCAGGAGGGAAGTGACCGTGGATAATGAGCTGTCCCAGACTGTGCCTTGTGGAACACTGGCATTCAGAGGCGCTGTGACGGCTGCCAAGGGAGAAGTAGTCAGAAAGGGCTTTGTCCCTTCCAGGAATAAGGAGGGATTTTACCATTGCAGATGCAATAATAAAAACAACTACCATTTTAACGAGTACCTACTGAGTGTCGGGCTCTGGGCTAGGCGCTTATGGCCATTATATCCGGTCTTCATGATAATCAGGAGGCATTTTTTTTTATCCCAGTCTGAAGATGAGGAGTATGAGGCTCAGAAAAGCTAAGTAACAACCTGCCCCAGGTCACACAGGTAAATGATGGAGTCAGAAAATGTACGTAAGGTCTGTTTGGGGAGGGAAGGGAAAAATCAGAACAAATAAGTTTAAGGAGGAGGACAGAGACAGAGAGAACACACACAAGAGCATGAAATACAACACACACCACTAAAGACCTACATCTTTACATAGCTGTTTAACATGTGTGTGCAAAGCGGAGTTCTCAGCCAGAGTGGCCTGGACACTGTGAGCCAGTCCTCTTAATCTGCTTCTCATAGCAGCATCTGGAACGGGGTGTCGCATCTCCTGGCCTTTTAGGAATATACA